AGAGAGAGAAAGAGAAAGAGAGGGAGAGATAAAGAGAGGCAAAGAGAGGCAAAGAGAGAGATATAAGACAATGCTGAGGATGAGAATGCATAGCGGACATATCAAAAATAAGGTAAAACGTACGACTTTGATATTTGAGATCATGCTGGTTGTAGTAGTCACGGGTCTTCATTAAAATATTTTCAAAATTACTCCCTTCTTTTTCAAATCCCCCTGACGTCGGAAAGAATAAGCACAATCGCAAACCTGTTTTTATAAATCAATATTTATATGGATGTAACCTATCACACATGTCAGTTGAAGGTTGAAATGAGTACAATGAAATGACATAAACAATTTTTTTTTTTAAGTGTAATGGCATCAAAACTTTGCCACTGGCGATATGAACATCAAAATATGTCAAAACTGTATGATGGGGTGACCAAAGTTCGCGGAGATTTTTGAAAATATTTAGGAAATGTGATATTCGATCCATGATTTCTCATATTCTATACAAATGGACGGCAAAGTTTTTGACTACAAATTGGTGCAACTAGAAAAATTATCGTCAAAGATTACCGGAGATTTCGCAATCGCGAAAAGCGACGCCGGAACGGCATGCGCTGCAATTGATGTAAAAGTCGTCAAAAAAGAGGCCTTAATTCGCGCACAGGAGTTTACACCTCAATTTCTTTTTTTTAAGCGATCCATTAAAATAATTGCATAATTTGCAAAGCAAAATATCACACAATCAGTTGATATCACTTTATATTGACAATTTTGATGAAATCTTCTCTCGATATAAAAATTCCTATATAGACCCTTGTCGGCAACTCCAAAATTTTGGAAACGGACACAAAACACAGCAATATTTGCCGATCTTTTGTCAATGTTTGTATAACTTCAAACCCACTTCCAAAGAAACTTCAGTCTCTGGGTAATATCAAGTTCCTCTTTCCATTAGTAGTATATGAATTTCGAAATCTCACCGATTTTTTTTTTTTTTTGAGATATGGAACTTTCCGCATAATATGGTCACGCGCGAAGTATGGTCCGTCACCATAAATAATACTTTCTCGTTTTCCACACTGAAAACCACATTATTCCTTTTTGAGGATCATAATTATACTCTTTTTCATTTACCATGGTAGTCAAACTAAGACCACTAAAATGGAAATGAAGATAAATTATCAAAATAATCTCTGATATCTAATTTCAAATACTTCACAGCGATTAAAACCGATGTGAAAGAGCTTATCAACATAAATATCTTTATTAACAATTTTCATTTACATTTACATATTAAAGTGATCCAGTAACATATTAGAAGGTGCATTTTTTTGTATGAAATGTTACTTATTATATTCCTTATGTACTAACCGTCTAACATGCCAAAAATTCTGAAAAAATTCTCAAACCAAAATTATATATTCAGGGTTTTCTTTTAAGGCGTCAATGTGTAACCCCCTCCAACAGTAAATTCTCCCAATCAAGTTTTGAACTTCCCAATTGTTTTTCAATGAAAATAAGACATCAAACAGGCTATTAAAAATTATTCAGTAATATAGTTGGAAGAATTTAGGAATCGATCAGATCAGTTTTTCCCCAATTGTTATCTTTAATAAATAATAATGGTCTAAACTTTCAGATTATCTTTAATTGTACATCTAGCATTGAAGTCACTATACCTAAGCACCAATTTCTCTCATCTGAACAATGTTACCAAGTCCCTTTGAGGAATAACAGTTGAGGCTTTACAAGACGTCTGAAGTCGAGGCAATTTTATTCGGCAATATATGAATATATTGTATTTCCGTCATTTTGGACATAAACATTAATATTCACCCTGAACTGAGTAGATAAGTGAAATCATTCAAATGAACCGATTCTGACGATGCACACAATCCGCATCCATTGAAGAAAGACTTTACGATTCGATATCAATTTAATCAAAAAGTGTTTTTCATCTCACATTGCACAATTGTCATACGAATCAGAGTTATATTGTACATTTAAAACTATTTTAGGCAAGGTGAAAATTGTTGTAATCTCATAGTCAGAATCCTTTAAAATCGTTTATAATCTGGTTCATAAAATACAAGCTCGTTACTTTTATGTATATAGTAAGTGGAAGAAATACAAATATTTCAGCATATTATAAAAAAAAATCAACAAGGAAAATCACCTAAATATCCGGCGTGAGCGTTTTATAAATTATACTTTTCTTTAAAAATTAAATAAATAATCAATACATTCTATTGCAATACAGACAACGTTTCCGCACACGATCAAATCAGTGTTGAAAGAAATTTGATGAGAAAATAAATCATAAAACAAAAATTGAGTACTATTATGACTGTTAAATATTGTGCCTTTTCAAGGCGAAAGCTCAAATCATATTCTTGCGTTATAATATAATATACAGGTTTATCTTTAGAATGTATGAAATAACATGACATTTATCTTCAAGCTCAATAATTTAATCAAATGTACAATATGATGATAATTAAAATGATAAAAAGGCTCTGTCTATGTACTTCTGAATAAATTACACCACTAGTATAGGAAAGATATAAAAATACGAGTACAAATTTAACAGTACTTTCAACATGGAATGCAACTGATTTTTTACACCATCATCTCAATATATAGTACAAAAAATGAATAAATGAATGAAAAATACCAAACATGTTGCTGAATAGTTCATTCGATTCGTCTCCATCGCAGCGTCACATAAAGTCATTTCTGATCCAGGTTCAACTATCACTTTTAAAAGATGCCTTACATTTGTATATTTTCTTTTCTTTAAAGCCCCAATGTCCTACTTGTAGCTACTTGATCCCTCTACATAGAAAACAATGCCTAATCGGTGACCATTAGGTTCCCCATGATCCTCTTTTTCTTATGTTAATTGTGAGCTGTGTTGATGAGATGACCACCTGTCCAGTGCCCTTGCAGTGTGATCTAATCCCTCCTATAAACTAGTACAGATATTAGTTTCCACTTGCACTGATCGTGTTAATAGTTCGAAAATATCATTGAAGGCCAATAAATATTCCTGCAAAATTTTCCTATAAAAAAATGAGCTAAATCTTAAAAATCTTTGTTGACGATGTTGTTGTTTATATGCAAACGTCATCAATACAACGGATACAATTAAACATCAAACAAAAACTGAACGCATGTCAATCTTTGAGCACATTGACACGATTGAAATGGCTGTGCACAACCATGACCAATATACACAGTGGCGTAGACAGGTTCGTACACCTGGGGGGGATGACTCAGGGGCGGATCTAGCTTTTTGCTAAGGGGGGGGGTTGACCAAAATAATGACGATGTAGAGCATCGTCCACGAGCCGCGAAGCGGCGAGCCGATTTTTTTTTGGGTGTTTATTTGAACCCCGTAAGTGATGTTTTCCTGGCATCTATTAACACAATGGAGACCATAAAAAGCAGTGCATGATAACGTCTTTTTAAATCAAGTAACAGTTAAATACACAGTTATATCCAGAGTTATCATGTGTTTGGTTAAGTTACCAGATGAGTTGAATATCTTCTCACAATATTTGCACTTGAAAGGGTTTCTCTCCAGCGTGCGTTCTTTTTTCTTTCTTTTTTTCTTTTTTTTTTTTCCTTTTTTTTTTCCTTTTTTTTTGTTTTGTTTGTTTTTTGGGCCGCCCAAGGGGGGTTTAAACCCTCTAAACCCCCCCCCCCCCGTAGATCCGCGCCTGTTTAATCTTGTGGTTATCTTGTGGTTTCCAAACCACAAGATAACCACAAAATACTTGTAAGATGTTCTTTTTTTTACCGTCTGAATTGGCTTTCACCGTGTGAATGCGGCTAATAACAATAAACACAATTACAATAATGATGAGGATTATTATTATCATCATCATAATTATTATTATTATTAATATTATAATTGTTATCATTATTATTATTACTATTATTATCATCATTATGACTTATTAAGTAAGCAAATATCATTCCCCAAAACCTGGGGGGGGGATGATTGTACATGCCATCCCCCCACCTTGTGAGGTGGGGGGGATGCATCCCCCTCATCCCCCCCGTTGTCTACGCCCCTGAATATACATGTAGTATAATGCGGACATCACGAATCATCTCTACCAAAAATTTCAATTATATTTACACATAAATATCATCTTGAAAGTGTGATGGCTAGGTTTGATCGAATGTTGGTTCCTTCAAAGGCACCATGCATGTTCAAATTAGGTTTGGAGCAAATAGTCGTCTTGTTGTTGTTAGTGTTCTTGCTCTTGTCCTTGTTTTTCAGAGAAAGTCAGAAGAACAACAAATATAACCACGTCAATATCGGGAAACAAAGCTCTGCTTTAGTTTGTGAGAAATGCAGAATACAATGTGCACTCTGTAGGCATACTTTAAAAAAAGACGACTTGCGTCCCTTGATACAGAGGAGTAGACATTCACTTTTTGAGGAGCCATGTAAGAGGGATGTTAGAGATTGTTTCCTTGGTTGTTGAATCCACTCTAAATTACAGTTATAATAAAGTCTACTACCAAGTAGTGAGTGAATAACGCTGTTGAGAATGGATTCCATTTTTTAGAGTAATTTCCACTCCCGGATAAAGTGATCCCTTTTACATGAACCACTAAAAAGTGAATATCCACTCCTGGGCCTTGTTCCATAAATCATGTTATCAGCAACTAGTGCTACAGGGAACCGTTTCACTAAGTCTTTTTTTCAATGACAAGTGACAAACATCAGTTGCAAAATCTGCTGATAACCAATCAAAAGCAAGGATTTCAGTAGCTTATAACAAAAACTGTCATTTGTCACTGATGACAAGTTTTGTGAAACGCCCCCCTGATCTATGACAAATTTACCAGTCAAATGTGAAGATTTCAGTAGCTTATAACATTGTGAGTAGTTTGTTATGGATTTACGAGCTTCAGTATTAAAAGGGGCCCTGCACATTCAGAGGGTAGGCTCTCTCCAGTATATATAGGCTACGTCATAGAACAGATCACGTGGGTTATCTCACACCCTGGAACATGGTGATGATTTTTTCGTCGGCGAGCTTCTTGATGACTTCGAATTCGTGGACGGAATCGTGGACGTGGGTCTTGAGGAAAGCCGAATTTCTTGACCCGTCATTGACCTCCCAGTAGTGGTCCCAGAATCCTTTGCTGTTCGCCCCCATTCCATACACACTGACCTGAATGAACGAACGAACATGCGATAAAGATGAATAGACACTTTGGTCAAAACAGAATAACCAATACTCGAAAAATGGAAAGGGGAAACCAAAACGTTGGTGGATTTCCAAGACAATTTACAACTAAAGGGTAATTTCATTTTTTTAATGCAAAATATATCGTCTATGGAAATTATATTTGGATTACGTAATATATATTATTATCATGTTCGTACATTTCAATTAGAAAATTACCTTTTTTTTCACTTCGACGTTTTTTAAAATAATAATTACAAAGGCTTATTCGACAAATTCGATCAAAATACATCAACAGATAATATACAAATCGTTTAAATAAAATAATGGCTAAATGTGAAAATTCCCCCCGGCTTGTTTTTTTTGAAAGACTTTCAGATCATAATTGGCAAAAGAAATCGACAGCGTCCTAGAAATGTATTCTTTTCTTAATTATGCTATTGAATTATCTTGAATTTTACAAACATTCGCACCCAACCCCCCCCCCCCCCCTTTAAAATTAATCGTATATCCATCTTTGGATTGGCAATGGTCAAGAGTATGGAATACTTACCTTCGAACAAAGAGCTAGCGAAACATTTGAAAGAAAATATTTTGTATTCCGACAAATTTTAAGATATCGTCTCTCAATAAAAAAGACCGTATAGACTTTTCGGTTCCTGTTTTTAATATATATTTTTCCTGATAAATTTCTGCTGCATAGGACAGAGAGAGAGAGAGAGAGAGAGAGAGAGAGAGAAATGAGATATGGTCCACAGATAAATAAATATAAGAGGCCGATCAAAATCTGATGGGGAATCTGATGGACATTGACTAAATGTAGAAATACATGCAGTTGGAATAAAGAAGAGTAAAAAAAAAAGAGAAAATGAGAAAGTGGGAGAAGGAGAAGGAGAGGGAGAGAGAGAGAGGGTTGTATGTGGTGGGGGAGGAACAAAAAATTCGTTCGCTCTTTCCTACAAAATTATATTCAATAGTATATATACCTCATCACAGAACTGAAGAGCGAAGAATACGGCCAAAGTACCAGAAGATGGATAGCGCCCTTTACGGTCAATCCATTCCCGATGAATGTGGTACATCAACGCAGGGTTGTAGAAAAGTATCTAATGAAAGACGGGCAAAAAATATGATTTGCAAGAACTAAGCTCAGAACTATCTAAAGAGAAAGAATATATTGTCAGTTCAATTTCTTCCGATTGGATATTCGTATTTGAACAACTAAATTGTAGAACAAATTATTCATTGATGTTTATCTTTAGCATGTTTAGAAAGCAAGTAATTGGTGTAAATCTAGTACTAATTAAAATCTCATCAGTGCTGAAGGTTTCTACATCCGGGGACTAGCTCAGACCCTCAATTTTTTTTCCCAACCATTGGTGGATTTAGGGATTTTCGCCCCATCCCCATCCCTTTGAAAAGATTCCAAAGCGCAAATCTTTAGTACAAAAATATTTATTTTAGATGTGCCCTCTCTTTTTTGGGAGGTTATGACCTTTCGCAAGATGGATCCGCTCCTGGTTCAAACTACTTCATTCCAATCAAATCTTATTTCCGGTTCGTATAAGTACTTTCATGAATTAATTTATAAATTATGATTAAACCATTATGTCAATATTTTTCCAGACTTATAATCCAGACTACGATACAATCAATCAGATAATGTCATGTTTGAGGTACCATAAGGTACCGCCATATGTTTGCTTTTGTGTTGTATCTTTCCATAAATGCAAACTTTAAACACTATAAATCATGCAAATCAATAAAAGATTATTGATATAGCTGCATATTGAAAAACTAAATGCGATACAATTAGTACTGGCAGCAAACTATTATAGTACTTTGTTACTTTGTCCATAAATGCAAACTTTAAACACTATAAATCATGCAAATCAATAAAAGATTATTGATATAGCTGCATATTGAAAAACTAAATGCGATACAATTAGTACTGGCAGCAAACTATTATAGTACTTTGTTACTTTGTACATATATAATGTTAAATGTGCTGGGAGAATACTTTTTTGTATGGGGTATCCTTGCCCCTTGGGTAACAGTTGATTTTCAGACACTTGTTGGTATTTTAACTCATTATGTTAGTTTGGAGAGCCCCTCCCCATTCTTTTATAGGAAAAAATCACGCCCAATTCTACAGTTTGCAGTCTACAGAAATACTTACTTTTGAAGGGGTAACTCTAATTTTACGTCTCACATTGGTATATGTCCTGAAAATGAAACATAAAATAGAATAATTTAGTATGTTTTTTAGTCTAGAGCATCATAAGACAAAGCTAATTTTAATGAAGGTCGTTCATTATTTTCATATACTCTCTCTATAAGATTTTTTAATTGATTATTATTATTATCATTTATTATTATCATTCTTATTATCATTATTATCAATAATATTATTTCTTAATTATCATCATTATCATTTAAATTATTATCATCATTATTATTATTATTATTAACATCATTATTATTACCAATATCCTTAATATTATCATTATTATTATTGTTATCATCATCATCATCATCATCATCATATCCATCATATTCATCATATTTATCATCATCATCATCGTTATCATCATCCTCCTCATCACCATCCTCATCATCGTCATCATCGTCATCATCATCATCCACATCATCATCATCGTCATCGTCTTCATCATCATCATCATCATCATCATCGACATCATCATCACCATCCTCATCATCGTCATCATCGTCGTCGTCATCATCATCTTTATCATCATCATCATCATCACCATCCTCATCATCGTCATCATCATCGTCGTCATCATCATCGTTATCATCATCCTCCTCATCACCATCCTCATCATCGTCATCATCGTCACCATAGACATACTTTGTGATCTCGCCTGTAGTGATTGCACTCCGGGCCCACTGCAGGTCTATCACCTTGAAGCTCAGTAAGACAAAGTTGGTTTCTGGCGCAATGTCCATGAAACTTTCTGGGTACATCAATCGGTGTGTTTCTTTCTGGCCCACGTCCTTCTCGAAGCCTTTTACTTTGGCTTGATTGATTCTGTATCAAATAAAGAAATATTTAATTAAAAAAGTGTGATATAAAAAAGAGAAAGAAAATTACAGACATCAAGGAAAATGACAGAAAAAATAGCACAGAGATGAATTGCAAACGTTAAGAGCTTTAAATTATTTCATGCACTTTATTATAAAACAAATTTCCAGAGGCGGATTCAATTGATAAAAAAATCATAGTCAGAATAAATTGAAATAAATTAAGAAAGACTCTTCACTTTATCAGGTACTCTGTTTACTCACAGTAATTATTATCAATTATATTGTCATTCTTATTATCATTTTATATAGAGTGCTGTAAGATCAACAGTTTTGATAACCTTGATAGTATTTTAATTAAGGACTTCAGTGTACGAGCATAATAGACTGATCCGCCGGCAATCAACCCTAAATAAATTATAATGAATAATCTTTTCCATTTACTTCTAGTGACACGATAGTTAGAATTGTTAAAATTTTAAATGTAATTGTCGAAAATTGTATTTAGTTTTAAAATGCACTAAAGACAAGTTGCCCATTTTATTTCGACATAATGATTGATAATTGATACTTTGGGTTTAATCTTGAATTGCATGTGCATGTATTCTGAATGTCTACCTAGTAAAATGATCATTTTCAGACCTTCGGCCGGACTGCATGTTCAGCGTTTTTTATGGCAATAAATCAATTCAATAACATCTAAACATCTTTACAGTCCTTATCTAAGATCGAAGTTTACGCACATCCCTCGGGATTTCCCTAAACAAACATACCACCCAGCATTCCCATGTTGCCCATATCATTATAGCTACAGGTATAGATTACTAATTCATTATTTATTGTTCGCAAAATATCATCCCGACTTGTAGATATAACATCATTGAGGACAGGTGCTGTTTGTTAGTAAATAAAAAAAAACGCTTCTGCTTTAATTAAAGGGAAATCTAACCTTAAAGGTACTATGTCCCATTTGCAGGCCAAAAAAAATGAAAAAGTTAAATTCCAACTGCATTTGAAAGATCATGCTTATTTAGAACTTCCCTAAAAAAGGTGGGGCTTGAAAATGTCTTCAAGTGGGAAAATAATGACTATCAGTTGTCAAATCGACTTTAGGGCTATAGAGCCCAAAAGTAATAGTCTTCTAAAGCTAATAGATTTTCAGACAGTTGTCCCGAATGGTCATACGTTTTATGCTGCGCAAAGATTCAATCAGTTTAATCTTGGCCATCACAAGAAGTGGGTTATTGATGTAAACAAATGCTCATATACCCTTTACAACTCTTTTCATGTATGTTATTACCAAAGAAGAAAAAAAGCCAGTCAGTCACTCAATAAGGCCTGACAGTGAAGTCTAGCAAGTAAACGGGTTTCCTTGCATAATTTGAATATGAAGACACTGCTAACGTTTAAATTTCACAGATAGGACATACATGACATATTCATAATTCCTGCAAAGTTCTACAGAATTTGAGGCTGGCTGCAAAAGGGACATAGTACCTTTAACAGACAACTACTTTTAAATTAGAAGAAAGCAGAACATTTCAGAGAAGCAGAGTGCTGATAAATTGAATTAAATCTGATCAACAAAAAAAGTTATGAATTATTCAAAAATGTAAGCACTATACTTATGAGCACTTCAAATTGGCTGAATCGGTAATGTCACTGCGACGAAATGCTGGACTACTTTCCCATTTGTTTCAACAACAAAAATGACTGAAATGTCAATTTTTCAAAACGTACGATTCAAGATGGTCTTTCCTGATTGGAGGATGATATGCTGTCCATAATATATTTTCAGTAGTACCCTAAGGGAGAAGGCACTTAGGACAAAAATATTAATTAATTATATTTTTGTACACGACAAACGTGAGCGTTGTCCCATGACTTCGTCACAATCAACTGATCAAATTGCCAATTTGGTATCCGCATGGATTTAGTGATCTCACATGTCAAACTTTCATGACTCCCTTATTATTGGCCTGATTTATTTCAGAGTTTCGCCTGTCCTTTTTTCGTATTATCCTGCTTTCATACCAATTAGTTTATTACAAGAGTTTGGATCTTTATTTCCTTTAATTCCCTGTATGTCCCCAATATGCTGACACACGTATACCAAAATTCCTAAACAGCGCCTCCAAAATTACTGATTTGGCAAACTTTTTGCAGACACACGTTTCGTGAGTCTGACCTCAGATCTGTGATCCCGGGGCCAAAATTGGAATCCAAGAAAACAAATATTTCCCTCTGGTATAATACCTGAAATACCACGTTTTGTTATGCAGCAGGATCCAATGAATTGCGTGCTTGCGTTCAAAAAGAAATTTACCAAAGCGTCGATTTCATTTAAAGTACGTCGATGAAAAAACGAATCTATATGTAAATTTTAATGCATATAAACAAAACATGAAAGCTATATTTTTTTGCTCCCCTAGGAATGATTGATTGATCGATTGATTTTATTCGCCAAGCTTCCAACATACAACAATATAAAAGAATAACAGATCAAAATTAAGTTAGCTTGAACAGGATGGCCCACGAAAGCCCGAGATCTTATTTCCAGTGGGGTCCCCGACAAACATGTACAAAATTAATAAGTTAAAATCGTATTACTTACAGACAGATAAGAAGAATAAAAAAATATTAAAGGTATTAATGATGATAAGAATAATAACAACATTAAACTGATGATCGAAATGATAATAAGTACGAGAAGTATAAGAAGATGAAGAAAAGAAGAAGAAGAAGAGGAAAAATAAGAAGAAAAGGAAGAAGACAAAGAAGGAAAAGGAGAAAAAGAAAAAGAGGAGGAGGTTGAAAAGGAGAAGGAAGAGGAGGAAAACGATAAAAATAATGATGATGATGAATATGTTATATTTCTTTATGTACAAAAACATAAGTATATACAAAATTAAAAGTATGAACCGGCAGAAAAAGATATAAAAATTCTGTATTCAGTCATTCTATATTCAATCATATAACATGTCATTCGCTTCTCTCCTCTGACTCTCAAGTGTTAAGCACTCCTTTAATTTCCTCTAAAAATGAGCAAAGTTTTCTTTTTCCTTTATATCATTATGAAGGAAATTTCAATGTTTGATGGCACAGTAATAAAACGAATTTCTAATACTACCTACTCTTTCTGGTAAGTTTAAGTGGAATCGGCTATTTCTTGTATTATAATCATGAAAGTAACAAGATCGAAGTCGGATCGACTATAATGATTCGACCTAGTATGACCAAGGTTATTTTGTATGCACGTGATGCAATACGAGTTGTTTTGATCTTTGTTTGACTTTTAGAAAATTAGCTTTAGAAAGTTCGCTGTAGCCAACATGAGTTCTTGGACAAGAACAGTTGATGAATCTCACCATTTTGTTCTGTATAATTGTCAACTTCTTTTGATCTGACTTGTTTATGTTACTACATGCAGGGTAAGAATAGTCAAATTAACATTGTATATTAGCAAAACAGAGTATACGTCTTGCTTTAAAATCCATACAACTTTTATTTTTTATTTTTTTTTGTACAAACATTTCAGACTGGAATTTGCTTTTTTTACAACTGATTCTACTACAGATGAAAATGAAACTGCGCTATACTCAATTCCTAAATACTTCACAGATTCTTTTCTCTTGATAACTTGATTATTGTGCGTCACTTTGAAGTTGTATCTCCATAATAATCAGCAACCAGGCTTTTACTAGCTGTACTTTCTAAATACACATTAGCTAATCGGCAAAGTTGTACATTTCAAGACTCTTTTCATTTTTTTATGGGGGAGGGGAATTTTTTTTTTTTTTTTTTACTTGTTTGGATTTGTTCTACAAACTTGATAGCAAATTGTCCAAAATCCTCCATTCGAAATAATAATAATATTCAGTTCTTGTAATAGCGCAATATAATTTATGAAATAACAGTTCTATGCGCTTCCAAAGAGCTTTGGAAAGTATTACCCTAGCTTTAGCTCCGACAGCTGTTATCAACGCACAGTTCACGTCGTTCTCGTCCACTCAATCTAAAAGTCCCTAATGACCGCGCAGCGATTGACTCCCAAATACAACTCCAAACCCAAATTCGACCTACCTGACGACGACGTCGTGCTTGTCGATGGCGGTCCCGTAGCCGCTGTTCCTCAGGTTGCCCGAGTTTCCGACCACGGCACAACGGAGGCATCGTGATACGTTGCGGGTAAGGAACCGTTGCGGATTGGGGATGACTTCGAAGGCCTTGTCGAGAGCGCCGATGTAGTCGCTGTTCTCGCGCCGTTGTAAAGACTGTCAGGTGAAAAACAGAAAGTATAGGTCGATTCAGAGGTCAGTAATATAAGTCTACTACGCTTTTGAATGATTCTCTTTTAAAAAGAATATGGCGCTTTATAAATGCTGTGAATTGTCATCATCAGTATCAGCAGCATCATTATTGTTAACATCATCATCATCATCATCCACATCATCAAAATCATCATCATCAACAATGCTATCGGATTTGCCCGAAGTTGATTTCTAAAAAGTCTATGTGATCGTCTTAATATTATCGATTACACGTGTACTCGAGGGTGTCAATTTGTTTAAAGCCCCTCTTAAAAATTGTTGGAAGCCCAAGATTAGTCAAAAATGTGATAGCAAAATCTCACTTAAACTGTATTATAATATGAAAGAGGATGTCATTTTAAAGACACACTTCTGCAAAGATATCCCCCCCCCCCCCGGACATGTGTTTGAAGACAAATATTGATAATAGAATACATAATTTTGGTTTTCTGTTGTAAGAAGAAAACCTAAATCAATAATATCTAAGAACGAAAAGAAAAGAAGACAACAAAAATAAGAAGAAAAAGGAAAAAGAATAAAGACGAACACAGGTACAGAGAAATGAATTTGTATAAGATATCAAACACTTATTTTACGTTTCTAAATGGTTTAACCAGAGACACAATATCTGGATTTCAATAAATTCCAACAATATGTCCACTTTCCACTCTTTCTTTCTTTAATTTCTTTCTATCTTTATTCCTTTATTAATTTTACTAATTTATTTATCAAATTATTAATGTATTCATGTATGTATTTATTTATTTATCTATTTATTCATAGATATAAATCTATCTATCTATTTATAGGCTATTTTAAAAATTTCTCATCGATAGACCATTCACAAAAATAACATGCAAGAAGCAAAACGGATTTATAGGATTGATTATTACCTTTAAGCAATAAACCGCCATGTTTGATTTCAAGTTCAAAGATGATAGACCGCATAAGGAGCATTGTTCGCAAGAACATTTTTTAATGGGAGTCGGACCAAATTTGCCAACATGCCATCCAATAGAGATTCACAGTTTTCCTACAGACAGGACACTGAAGTCTACAAATTTAAAAACTTGTAAACAACAACTCTAAAAAATTATATCAAAATTTGAAAATATATAATAAGCATAAACAAATTTCTCAGAATTTAATGCATTTATTTGGCGCCAAGGATTGAAAAAGTTCTGAAATAATATTGTCAACTCTGCTAAAAAAAAAACGTTGAATTTGTTATGCTTTTCTTTCTCGAGGGGGCGTTAAACCCCCATCCCTCCTTTAAGTCGTCTCTGAATGCAAACCATATAACCTACTTTTATTGATAAACAGGAAAGCTGATAGCGTAATGCAATACTAGATAAACATTTAGCCGGATATTCATGCAATTCAAACTTCGATATTGCAAAGAAACCGGAATATGGAAATATTGTGTTATCCTGTTCATATTTATTTACAGGAACTTGTCTTTATGTGTCAGAAAAAGCTGCGACAAGTATTGGGCTATGTCATCAGTGTAAGGAAGTGGTATAAGGAGGAATGTATGAACGAATCATTCAGAACAAGGTCGTGCATGTTCACAACACAAGCATTTCCTTTCCAGATGTTCGTATAAAGACTGTTAACATCAAACGTAAACTAAAAACTAATATCGTCAGTATTTTCGGGTAGATGATTCAAGAAATCTACGTTATCCTGGATAATACTAATAGCTCTTTACATGTTTGAAATATGATTTCAGTACAATATCTGATATTGTTCTGAATCCATACTTGAAACATACTTGAAACTATTTCGGATATAGCTCTTTACATGTTTCAAGTATGATTTCAGTACAATATCTGATATTGTACTGAAACCCTACTTGAAACATACTTGAAACTATCTCGGATATAGCTCTTTACATGTTTCAAACTTAGCGGACTAGGTATACAAAAGGCACTTAATATAGAACAAAATGTTTTGAGACAAACAACAAAAGAAATCAAGAAGAAAATATAGTTTATGTATCTACATACAATCCTTATAATGGGAATTATTCAAAACTATCAAACCAACGCCCCCCCCCCGCCTTTTTTTTTTAACTGAAGATTCTCATATATTTGGGAAGTAGTAGAATTTTTTAAAAAAATGTTGACCTCAGCCTCAAGGGGGAACGAAAAAATGTTTCAATAAGAGGTGTAAAACGTGCCCATATAATTTTAAATCTGAATTCACTATCTCAAGAAATGAAATTAAAACCGTAGTGAAGAAGAGAACTCTCAATGATTTTTATTTTAATAGTTTTAATATATACATATATATATATATATATATATATATATATATATATATATATATATATATATAGATATAGGAGTTGGAAGGTTACACTTTATTGGTACGAGTTATACAGACTGTTTCGCCAGAAGGCTCATCAGTAACTAAATACATAATACAATCATGGCGAAGTTAAAAACACTCATGTGCAGTCAGGCAAGAATACAAAAGAGACACAAATAATACCCAAGTAAGGGCGAACGCAATAATACAATAGTGGAATTAAGGGGTTTAAGGGTAAGGGGAAAGGTCATGGTGGTACAGGGGGGGGGAGGGGTTTAACCATATTCAGAGAGTAGAAACTTTCTCTTATGTTTACATGTGGAAATGAGTTCAGTTCTAGAGTTAAGGATGGTGGATTTCTCAGCAGTGATGATGTGGTACTTTTCCCATAGGCAGAGATTGCAGCGATTTGTTCTGGGTGAGTATGGTTGGGCGTGCCGGATGATTCTCCATGATATTGTGTAGGGTGTCCCGTCGTCTTTCAGCATCCAGGTGTGTTTACTTAGCTCGGTCTGGTATCTCTTTTCTTGGTGGGTGAAGCTTGCTTTATGAGTTGCATATCTGGCTTTGAAGGTTGTGGATGTGAGTCCAATGTAGAGTTTCTCATCGTTGGGGGTCACAACCTTGGCTTCATAGACGATATTTTTGGTTGTGCATTTTCCTGGGAGGGGGCAGTCGTCTTTCTTTCTGCAGTTGCAGGTTTCTGGGTCTCGGTTGGGGTTGTGGTTGATGATTCTATTGTTGTGGGCCTTGGTTATGGTTGCTATGTTATCCATGCAGCTGTAGCTGATCTTCAGTGTGTTCCTATTGCAGATTTTGTGTAGTTGGTGTTCCTTTGGGAAGTGCTGGTCTACGAGAGCGAGGAACCTTCTGCCAATATTTTTAGTTACTGATGAGCCTTCTGGCGAAACAGTCTGTATAACTCGTACCAATAAAGTGTAACCTTCCAACTCCTATATCTACATTTGCTCCTACAGTTGAGCACTGTCAGAAATTGCAGTTTCACTAAACTTGCTTATATATATATATATATATATATAAATATATTTATGTAATAATAATAATAATTATAATACAATATTCATATAGCGTATAATAAACAAAGTTTCTCTAGATATGTTTGTGTGTGTGTATTTATCTACTTCCCAGTGGCGTACGCAGGATTTTGTTAAGGGGGGGGGGGGGGGGGGGGGGGGGGGGGGGGGGGGGGGGGGGAGGGGGATAAGAGGACACTTTTTTTTTTGGTCTCGAAATTTAAAATTTAATATTTTTCTTCGTTGGGGGGGGGGGTTAGGTCACCTTTTTTAGGTCAGTCATGGGCATAATTTTTTTTTTTTTTTTTTTTTAATAATTAAAAAAAAAACCAATGGGGGGGGGGGGGGGGTTAGGGGAGTTTTCGTAAAAATACACACATAAAAAATACCAAAGGGGGGGTTTAACCCTTCTAAAAACCCCCCCCCCCCCCCTGTGTACGCGCCTGCTACTTCCAGAACCACTTTAGTGCCAGCCTGCGTGTATATTGATCTTTTAATAATCACTAGTTCTCCCACTCTTTCAAACCAAACCCTATTGATTTCTTATCACATGCATCTGGAATCAACAAATTGTACGAAGAAATCACCAGGAAGTGATTTCACGATTCTTTTGGAAACGCTGATTAATAGAAGTGTCAGAAAAAGCTGCGACAAACATTGGGCTATATAATCAGTGGAAGGTACTTGTTGTAGATCGAGGAATATATGAACAATGTCGTGCGTGTGAAAGCACCTGCGTATTTGAAAAGGACGAGGGGTAGTTTATCCCTTCCCCAGACAAATTTCCGAAGAAGAAAAATTAATAATACCTGAATTACATTAAAGTAAGGAAGTAATAACAATCACCAATTGATGCTAAAACCCCACAAATCGCATTTTTTACGACACTTTTCCCCCATAAATGTTCTACTCGACTGAATGCTCCCACCCCCCCCCCCCCCCCACCCCAACCCCAACCCCCATCCGCCAACGACAAGGTCCAGATACGCCACTATGTGTAAGTCTGTTAGCCATCATCTCTCCCCTCTTGACAAGCTAGATATTACCAACAGATGATAAACGATTTAGCACAGCTTCGGGTATGGGATCATTAACACTTTCTATAATAGAAAACGGGCGGAGGAGAGAGAGGGTATGAGAGAGAGAGAGAGAGAGAGAGAGAGAGAGAGAGAGGGGGGAGGGAGAGAGAGAGAGAGAGAGAGAGGGGGGATGGGCTTGTGGATGCTTGTGTATATCCGGGCTTTACCTATCTCCTTCCTTTGGAGAGATGAAAAGGGCTATATATACTCATCAATGAAATCATGCTGTATTTCTCTTCTACAACACATGTATACATTAACGTTAATAACTTCGTACAAACTCTAATATATTGATTCCATTATTATTTCATCTATTGTTCATTAAAAGCAGACAAAGCAAGTCAAAAGTGAAATAATGTGAGTTGGAGTTGGTCTAGCAATTGGCTCTGACTGGCCTATCTGTTCAATGACCTAGAGTTCGACCCGCAAATATGTCTTCGAGAACGATTTTATACAGTGATGATAATGATGATAATCAATAATAGTAACAATGATAATGATGATACTACTATTACTATGACTACTACTACTACTACTA